TTCGACTCGGCACCTTTTTCTACACTATATATGATATATTGACCATTTTGAGAACTTTTAAAAAAGTGTGACCTCATAACCGAAAAGTACCGTGATATCTTTTGCAACTTAAGTTAAGAAAGATTAACGTTTAATATGTGATTTTTAAAATTAAAATGAAAATTAATTTAAAGTTTTTAATTTAGGTTGGAAAATAATCTTGTTAATTAAACTGCTGTGTTGATTATTTTTATTAGGCAAGTTTTTTTGTGATTGTCATTTATTTGCGAAACTCCAGAATTTTATATAAACAAAATCATGTTTAAACAAAAACATATGATTTTAAAAAATTTATTTAACTATTTTAAAGGCTAGAGAAACAGAAAAAAATGTTAGACATAAGAATAATTTTTTAAGCATTGTCGAGAGTGCATGTCCATTGCCCTTACTGCCTGTCAAGCATTATTTAAAAATTTTAATGAGCGCTTTAAACAATCAATTTTTAATTGATTAGATGATTTTCTATTTCTCTAACCTTTAAAAATTTTAAAATAAATGCTTTAAAATTTTATTGACTTTTTGAAAATTTTTAGAGGTTAGAGAAATAGAAAATTAAAAAACCTGTTAGACATAAAATTTTATTGACTAGGGATTTGTTAACAGCTACAGCTCTCTCTCCTCCCTCCCTCACCCCTCCCCCATCCCCATTCCCTCCCCCTCCTCCCACTCACTCCCAATGACCTTGCTTAAATCCTCTATATGCATTATAGCATTTATTAATGGGGAATTTTGTTGGGGAATTTTTATTAAATAATTTTAAAAATTAATTTATCAAGTTTCTAATAGGTGCTTCAGATTAATACTTTTCTTTTTGTCATAACTTGTTCAAAATTGGGGTTCTTATTACCGATTTCACTGGTTTCATATTTTGAAAGTCGACATTATATAATACTTGTTGGGCCCAAGAGTGGAAACGCACCCTTGGGCCGTGCCGATCCACCAATTAAAAAGAAGGCTTTTAACTTGTAGATTTAATACACAAAAAACTAGAAATCCACATTTCGATTTCAGTTTGAAAAATTCAAAAATAGGGGGTGCGTATAATTAGTTAACAGAGTGTAATAATTAAAATTAAAATAGAACAGGACAACTTTTCATCGGGTCCAAAACATTTATGAATTACTTGGCCGGCTTAGTCTGACCTTTAATGAGCCTCTACTTATTAATTAATTATTATTAATATAATAATATTTTTTAAATAATTTTAGAAAATGAGTTTCATTTTCCAGCCTCGCTTTAGCCTTTTAAAATGTCTCATAGTGATTTATTTTGCGAGTTTTGAGTTTGATAATGTCTACGCAATGAGAGGAAGTAGAAAAGATAAACGTCAACGTGAAGGTGAAATTTAAGCTTACGAAAGATAATTTCATTTTTCCATGATAATTGTTGTAAACATCCGGTGTAATAATTTTGTAATGACTTTTTCAAACGATCGTTAGAGTTGCTAGATTTTAAAAATTCCTTTAAGTACATCCGGCAAGTGATTATTACCTAGTTGAAATTTATGGGGACATTATACACAGCTATTTAAACATCTAATTTTTGAATTTTCTAAGCTTAAATGAGCTATATATTAAAATTTTTAGTGCCGCAGGCTTAAAAATTTTTTTAAATAATAGGGAAAAATGAGGAAAATAGGCAAAAATGGGGACAAATTCGCATAAATATTAGATGATGTTCGGCCATCGAAATTTGATAAATAGCTTTAAATTTGGCATCTCAAGATAATGTTATTTCTGCTTAATGAAGATATTAGGAATTTTTTTAGTTAGATGTCAGTTATTATCTCTGATTGTGAAAAAGTTTTGTAAATCAAAAATTTTAAGATGCTGATGATTTCTCAAAAACTGTTGAAGCCAGTAAGAAACAATCAGAGCAATTTATTCCCAAATTTGAACTTGGGACTTATCAAAACAATGCTTCAGCACCATCTATGGTTCACTAAAATAAATTTAAAATTATTTCGATAAATTATTAATGTTACCTTAAACTCTCTAATAAAAGCACACCCACCAATAGAGGGTGTTCAATCCACCCTATGAGAGTATTGATAAATAGAAGCTTTAATTAGAGGATTTATGGTATTTTTCCAATTTATTTGCCTAAATATTAAGGGAACTGCGAAGAAATTTTACACATACAAAGAAAGGTTAGACAACTTGAGAGGAGCTGGACACGCAATTCTTGTAAAAAATTAGTTAAAATATTACAAATTAAAAAATTTTGTTTAGCAAGCAGAATCATATGAACCATACAAACAAACACAGCCCGAACAAACACATGATCACCTAAAACCATTTCAACCCGAAACAGACTTTCAAACTTTTGATCTGAATAACATGACAGAATGGGATTATTTGGAGTTTAATTTTATCTTTATAAAATAAAGTTTAGGAGAGTTGCTTAAGTTCAGATAAAATATTAATGATAAATATTAATGATTTATCGGTATCGGTATTTTACGGTATTCCGTACCGTTTTACGGAACGGTAAAATTTTGAATTTTATCGGTATCTATCGGTATCGGTATAATACAGTATTACGGTACGGAATACGATACGGAACAAAATTCTGATCTCTAGTCTCAATACGTATTAAGCCAACATTTAAATTTACAACTTTAAAAGATTTTACTTTTCAGAGAACGTGAAGCTTTAAAGAATTTTGATTTTAGTCAACATCCTGAATTCCGTAAAATTTTTTAAATTAATAGACTAAATTTTAAATTAAAGCTCAATATTACGGAAGATTAGTTAACGATAATACGATGGATCCTGCTTATTACATCAACATGTTTAAAAATTCCAAAGCCTCTGGCAGTTCTAGCACAAACCCTAAAATGGATACGACTCCACATGATAGTAAACAATTTTCACTAATAAAATTATTAATGATGACAGAATTCGAAGTTCCGAACACGGATGAGGATTCCGTAGAGTGTCTGGTTTCTGGACTTGCAAGAATATAGAGGGCTTAATCATCCGGCTATATTCCGACAAGGGCGTAATATCCCGGCTATATTCCTAAATTTAAATTTACAACTTTACATGATTTTGCTTTTAAGAGAACGTGAAGCTGTAAAGAATTTAACCTCATAACCTCATATCTCGTTCGATCCCTCATATCTTTAATCCTCATTATCATTGTAATAACTGATATCCTCTGAAAATACCATTAATCTATCAGCTCTCTTCATATCATCTTTCCCTTATATCAATCCATCAACTCCCTTATACTCCACATGATAGTAAACAATTTTTATTTAACAAAAAAATTTCCGGCTATATTCCGACATATATATCCTGATTGCTTATTGCGGACTGCGGATTTTTTATATTAAAATTTTAAAAAACTATTTACGTGAATTTCGTCATTGCTAAAAAAATTTTATTATTTGCGGACAGCACTGGTTCCTAAAAGCCTCTTACTTATTAAAAAGTTCAAATAAATTTTAAGGTATCGACAAAAATATTGCCACATTGTATGAAGATACTAAGGAAAAAGCAAATAAATTAGTAACAAGTTTCGACCTTGCTCATAAAAAATCAGAAGATCACCCTAATCCAAAACATTAAACTGACAATAGACGACACTAAACGATTTTATCTCTTGTTTTCATTCCTTATTTTATCTTAGGAAAAAGGGATCCTTGCGCAGAAGCGGGAAACTTTACTAAATCAGCGACTCTATCCATTGTAGGAAAAGGGCTATAATTCGGTCTAAAATTATCGTATCTAGGATCATATTAAGGATTGAGATAATTCGAAGAGTTTAGTCAAACATCATACTTGGCCGTTCGAGCGATAATTTTAGAACAAGTTAGAATTCCTCATACCGTGCGGGCTCACACGAATTATGGTAGATCTTTGCATAACTTTCCGACTTTACTTTCGGCTTACTTTCCGACTTTACCTTTTTCAAAGTTTGTAAGGTAAAAACGTGGGATTACTGATTACTTCAAGCACTGTGATATTATCAATTTTCTTTTAAATTTTTTTCTTCCGTCTTATTCATTTTATTCACAACGTTTTCATTGGTTCAAGCATAAAATGACCTTTTTTAATTGACTAATTGATGACTACACATTTTTATTAGGATTGCCGTTTTCGAGTCGGGCCGACGGTCGAGGCATTTTTTTCGGGCTTGTTTTTATCGAGTCGGGCCGGTACGTCTTTTTCGGGCCTAACCTTATCGTGTCGGGTCGGTCTAATAATACCGTAAAATAAAATTGAAAAATTGCTAAATTTTATCGTAAAATAAATAATATGTAAATAAAATTTACTAAAATAATTTTGTAGAATGGTGGGTTAAAAATGGTTAGTTAAAATTTAGTTTAAAATTCTTAAAAATTTTAAATTTAATTAATGGTAGGCAAAATAAAATACCGTAAATGATGAAATAATTACCCTCCTTCTACGAATATTTATCCCTCTATAATTCTCATCATCTAATATAGTTACTCGCTATTTTTTACATTAATTTTTATAAATCTGTAGGAAAGTATTATCAATTATAATCATTATCAATATCAAAAAATAAAGCAATTTCTTCTGAGTTGTTTCAGATCACAAACCAAATACAGACCCCCCTCCGAAGAAAGCTTGAAACAAAATTACCCAAAGTATTAGGGTGTAACATAAATAATTAGCCCCCCATGTGGTAAGTGGTTTAAATAATTATTAAAATTCAACTAAATGTTTCCAGACATCGAATTATATTTTTTTATAATCCTAAGAGAGTTGCCTATTTTCTGGCAAAAAATCAGAATCCTAGGATTAGGTTGGCAGGAGTTAGCATGGGGAATTATTCAAGGGAGGGGAATTATTCTAGTTTTGAAATTTGAACGTGTAGTAGTGTATTTGTGGGAGGGGAATTATTTTGACAACTCATCCGTAGCAGGTGGAATTATTCTAGGGAGGGGAATTAAAATGTAGAGGAATTAATCGAGTAAATACGGTATTTCAGCATTTACGTTATAGTCGGACCTCGTATAAAAACTCGCTAATAATTCTCAAAAAAACGGAACCTTTTCATAAAAATATTTTAAAACTCAAAAATTTGCTTAAATATCAACATTTTAATCTTCTAGCATTTGTTCCCAGCTTCCAAATTTTCTTCACACCATTTTTTCAAATTTTCTTTTTCCATGAATCTTATTCCAAAATTCATATCTAATTGTATAGGTATGCCAAGTTGTCCAACTTCATTTTCATAGGTTTTAGCTAATTTCGCCTTCATCGTTTTTATCTTTAAATTTAACTCTTTGAAGTTGACAGGTTTATCTTTTTCAAGTGTAATTTGTTTAATCTCTATTCCAACTATCCAATAGGTACAAAGCCAATCCTGATTTAATTTTTTAAATTAAATTTAGGACACTAGAACTAAATTATACCTCATATCCTTTTAATTTCCCTTCAAGCTCTTTTGGGCATTTCTCAGAATCCAACAATTTTAGAGGTCTAATATGAAGATATTCAATAATATCAACTTTTTTTTCAATTTGTTCAACCAATTGAACACGTAAGTGACTTTCAATAAATTTGCAAAATTGAACACCATGCATGGACACATTTAAGTGTGAGCAGTTTAACAAAAGGAAATGATCATACTGAAAATTTTTAATAAAATTTATCTTGGTCTAGATATTGAATTTTCATGTCAAATTATAATAATGCTCCTTATTTAACAAAAATCCATAATTTTAACAAATAAAATTCTGTTATTCTCAGTAAGAATGCCTAATAATATTTTCGGTTACGGTATGAGAGATTTAATGAAATATCCCTATTTGAAGAATGAGAGGTGCGAGGATCCTTATACATATGCGTGATTTAGTTAAGCTTTCCTTTTTGAAAGTTAGTCGTGGTATGGGATATGACCATTTTAGATCATCAGAATAAAGAGACACTCCTGTCACTAACTATGAGAGACACTCCGTTCTCTAACTAGGTTAAAGAATGAGAGGTGCAAGAATCCTTATAAATTTGAGTGATTTAGTAAAGTGTTCCTTTTGAGAAGGAGACGTGGTATGGGAGACTGACCATTTTAGATCATTAGATAAAAAGACACTAAGTTCACTAACTATATGTGACTTTTTATTATAATTTTATCAATGAAAATTTAAAATTTCTTTCAAATACATAGTTTATAATACCTCTTCAACAAAATTCTTTTCATTTCCGAACCAGTCAATCCATTTTTGCTTAATAACTTCTAAAGATGAGTTCCCTTTAATACAGTTAATCACTTCAGACAATTTTTCTAGCCCTAATAGTTAAATTATTAATTATATTTCCTAAAAGTATTCAAAATACCCTTCTTAGATTGTTTAATAATAATTTTAGTAGTAGATTCATTCAGGGTCAACAATGAATTTTGTGTTGGATACCCTGGAGGTATAATCTTCCAAATTTTTTCAACTTCAACTTCTTCCCCAAATTCAATTTTACGCAATTCTCTCTCCTTTTGATCACTCCATTCATTTTCCTTTTTATCCGCAATATTTATATCAACCCAATTTTCAATAAATTTTTTATGAAAATTTTCTAATACTTGACAAATGTGTTTATTTTCTTGATTTTTTAACAAAACATGTGCCAACACAATCAAAGCTTTGTCATTTAAAAATCCATAAATTCCACCATAAATAAAATTTTCTAAAATAAAGTTATTCAAAAAAGCCAAAAGATTTCACAATTTAAAATTTTTTTTGAAAAGTTGCAATCAAAATTAATTTTTCATCTTATACTTACTGAAAGGCTAATTAATCTATAGAGATAAAACGAAATTTCACATCTCAGAAAAGGTTTTCAGTTTTATTAGCAATCTAATATTAAATAAAAATTTACTTTTGCTCCAAATTCTAATAACATTAACTAATGTTTGAAGTTTTTGATTGTCTTTGTAAAGTGCCGCCATTTTGATATTAGCACGATAATCTAAGAATTTTTACAAATTTATGTTTGTGAAATTCCACCAAATTTTACATTAAAATATATTTTCACTGTATTGTATACAACGAGACTTATACAATACATTTTCTCGATCCAAATGTGTATCGAGGTGAAAATAAAACTGTTTAAAAAGGTGTGTTTATGTGAAGTGAGGAATAGTGAGTGTCATGATATTAAACATGTGGAGATAAAACTGGGCCAAGACAAAATTCCTGGGGAGAAGGTATTTTCAATGATTTTTTATTTTTTTCAAAAATCAAAAAAAATTTTGCTGATTTTCAATGCATCAGTGGACTATCTGTTCATGGAGTAATTGAAAAGTTATTTTGTTGGTTTAAGTTGATTTGCGAGGATAACGAGGTTTATCGAAGGATTTGTGCCGTAAGATGAATGTCCGCGGATTTAGAGATTGTGAGAGATATACATATATGGAGTTGTGAATTAAGATAAAATAAAGAGATTAAAAGGTTTGGAGAAAATATCGAGAGATTTGGATGGATTAAGATTATGACCACCTGATAATTCATAAACCATTTTTGTTCCAATCGGAGCATTTTCCAAAACTAATGCAGGCGAAAGCTTTTCAATTTCTTTGTCAATAATGCTCACGCGTCTGTCAATTATTCCTTTCATAAGTACCTCTATTTTAGGTATAACAACAAATCGCAGATAAATATTTAAATTAACAATACGAAAATTAATTGAAATTGACAAATGAAGAGATTTACTTAGATTTGTAACCGACGGATTCTGAAAATTTAGAAATTTTCTAAAAAATTTTAGCCTAAACCTGACAGATGTGGCAAAAAATCGAATAATCGTTACATTCTCCTCTTCGATTTTCATTGCATAATTTATTCCCCAAAAATTTATTTTCTACAAACGTTCTTTTATTGTCTTCGGTTTTACTGTCAGTTTCACAGAGAATAATTCCTTCAATTATGGAATAGTCTTTGAGTACTTCAATGTTTACAAGATTTGTGATCAACATATGGCATGTTTGCTTCTATATTTTAAAATTGATAAAGAAACCGTAAGCCGTTAGAAATTTAGAAATTTGAGGAACGAATTTAGGATTTTTTCTGTTCTAATTAGGTATAATTTGCTAGGGTTGGTTTACAAATTGCGTTTAAAACAGCAATAACTCGTGAAATTTAGAAGATTATTCTTTAAGTTATTACAGCCTAGTAAGCTGTAGTATCTAATACTACCCTTCTGATTATGAACATTAATGTACCTCGTTTGATTTTTTGTAATAATCATCAAACCATAGACTCAATCCCAATTTTGTTGTCAATTTGTTCTGGTTAATTATAACATGTTTTGAGTTGCTTTCATCAATCTTGAAAATTTTTTGGGCTTCATTTTTATTATAATATTTTTCCTTTTTTTCGTTTAAAATAATATTAAGCTTAAATTAATAATATTAATATTTTAATTTAAAATTAATCGAAGAACCGAAATTTCTGCATTTTTATCTTCTCTGAGTTTTTCGAGGTTTCTGGATTCTTCTAAAGCTTTTACATCAGCTTCAGTCTGTTCCACAATTTCTACATTTTCTAAATCCTTTCCATCTTCAAGACGAACACTTTTAACAGGATTCTTGTAACCGCCTTCCCAAAGTTTTTTATGAATTATTTCGTATGCTCTATCTTTTGCACCAATCAAACTAACCAAACGATCTTTAGCAGCTTTATTATCTAATCCTATAATTAAAAAGTTAATAAACTAATATAATTATAATATAGTAATGTGTGTTGTGAGAAGCACTGGTGGAAAGATTCCGGTTACGGTTTAGTAACTGGTCTGTTCCGTTCCAGAACTGGAACCGCCAAAATTTAAAAAAGCGGTACAAGAACCGGAACCGGTTCCAGAGAAATGTTGAAAGTTACCCATCACTGGCTATGTGCCTACTTTATTTATCCTTGTCTTTTACTAAAGGCACATGTTTGTAGGTATAATCCTTAGGTACTACTATAAGTACCCAATTTAGGTTTAAATTTTACCATCAAACAATTCAATAGCAAATTTTTTCTTCCCCTCGCTGTCATGACCTGGTTTCATTGTATCTGCCCAGGCCACTTCAATAACAAGCTGTCTACTCAATTCATTGTAAATTAGATCTTGAATACATTTACTAAAATCTTTCATGCTTTCCTCAATTTCTTCAACTTCAGTATCAGCATATGCTTTTGTCTTTTTCATTTCTAAAATAGTTTCTTTGACTTCTTCCTCCAATTTTTTGATAATCTTGTCCTGCTGTTCTTCAATCTCATTAAAATCCAACAAGAAAATCTTATCGTATCGGCTTCCAATTATTCCTTTCTTCTTTTTAAAATATAAGTTCAGATGAACAATCTTACGATTCTTTGGATGTTCCTCTTCCAATTTTTTAATTTCACCGTGTATCCACCTCATGGAAACAAAAAACTTTAAAGCCAATGTTCCTCTTAACTTTGTAGTTTTATCATCACTTAAAATAGCTTCCCAAAAATGTTCTCTCAACTGATTATCATCCACAAATGGATCATTTTCAACAAAATATTTTAGTTTAAAATTGGGGACCAAAATCTCCATTTTACTCTTCCTTCCAGGAATTTTCAATAATTCCTTAATTTTTGAATCGTTCAACGATTCTTGATGAAAACTTTCTAAATATAAACGTTGTTCAAGTAAAGCAACTTTTTGTTCGTTTGTTGCATCGCATTTGGAGTAAAAATCATTCAAATCTAACAAATCATATTTTCCTTCGAGCTCACTTTTTGTTTTGAATTTTTTCAATTTGTTGAATAAATTTTCAAATTTGTTTGTTGGAATATTTTTATGATTTATTATGTCTTGCATCGATAACAAGATATATATCAAGGATTTAATCAACACACACGCACTTTTTGGCAAATTATTGTCCTTCTGAAGATTATCCTCTAATGAAATCATTGCTTTTCTGCTGTAAAAAAACGCCTCCCTTAACTTTATTGTGTACAAATTAAAACCAGATTGATCAAATAGATCATTGTTCCTAATAAGATTTAAAGATTCTACTACAATTTCATCCAAGTAATTTGATAGAATTGAAACTGCAATTCTTAATTCGGCATTTTTTGCTTCGTTTGAGTTTTTGCTGCACAAAAATTTTTCATAAAGATATGCTTTAATTTTAGTTTCCATCGTTCCTTAAAGTTAAATATTTATCAAACTAAACTAGTATTCATTAAGTCCCCGAAGGTATTAGATGTACTGATTTTTCTAAATTTTATGATCTAGAAAAGCTCCAAAAAAAATAAAAAATAGCCAATAAACTAACTAATTTGTAGTGCAGTTGGTTGAGTTTCTTCTAATGTGAGTAAATTTTCTTCGCCAAGAAGATATATTAAGCGTACTTTTAATTTTAACATTTGTTTTTCATCGTATAGTGTAAAAGTTTGACGCAAAGTTTTAGAACGTCCAAATACCCATTCAAAATAATTAAAGTACATTTTTCTTTTAATTTCTTCATATTTCTCCTTATTTTCAGAATTTGCCTGAATGAAATAGTACTTTTTACTTTTATAAAATATATTTAGTTTCTGCTTATTTATTTGAGTAAGAGCAAAGTAAAAGTTTAATCCCGGGCAGGCTTCGATCCTGCAACTTCCTGGCAGTTATTGCCAGGCGCTTTCGCTCACCACGTACAGGTGCACTACCAACTGAGCTACCGTGCTCTGCTTTCACCTTCCCTTTTAATAGATCTTAAACCCTCTTGGCCAGCTACGGTGTTTTCAAAACCATCTCAACAAACGTATCAAATCACGCTGTTGAGAAAAATAATAATTTGCGAAAGTTTTACAACTTAGTGGTCTTGTAGTTGTGTATAAATGAGTTTTCCCTATCTTTATTCAATTTTAAAATCATAGAAATATCACCATCTCTATTAGCTTGTCAACAAGTTCAATCCACTTGGCTATTTTTAGTTTCAGTTGTTCCAAAACACTTTTGTCAAGTTTACGAACAAGATCGCTCCCAATTTTAATGATCTCAGTTCTAGATTTATTTTTAAATTCGTTAATATCCTTCCTTAGAGAGTTTCTAACATCTGGATTTTCTTTTATCTTTTCAACAATTTCTCTATAGTAGCAAACAGCAAATTGTAAAAATAATTCCGGCTCAATTTTTTCAGGTTTCTCCGCTATCATGTTTTCGATGGCATCCATGATTTTGTTAATTTCAATTGGCTCTAAATACAAAACAAAATATTTACGCATTATTTTTAAAGCGTTCTCTATACAAATCAACTACGATTATAATGGATTACTCCTTATCGAAAGGCAGCAAAAGTCTCGTAAACTAGGAAGGGCATAGAACTCTAATCGTTCTATAATTGTAAGATGATCAGCATTTTCAGATCAACTCTGAGAAGCCTCAATAATGAAGACCTGTTCTTACCTTCTCCATATTTTGTGCCTTCTGACGGGTATACTCTATAAACCTAAAATTTAATAAAAATATTTTTATTAACTAAACATTACTCTTTACTTTTTCGATTGTTGTAGTCATTAAAAATAATTCTTCTCTTTTTAATTCTGATAGATCTGTAATCAAAATAAAAATTAAATTGAATTCTTATGATAATATTTTTTAAAAATTTCTAATGTGTTTACCCTATAATTATAAAAAATTATTTGCATGTGATAAATTAAGTTGGTGTCGAGGCTCGCCTCGACATAACAACATAAAACAATTCCAATTAATAATTTATAGAATCTCAGCCGGACACCCAACCAAGAACGTGGTCAATTCCAGATGTTCACTGCTTAGGAAATTCAAAACTATTAACTAAAGAAGGGAAGGAAATCCGAACAATATAAGGGCTCACACCAACATTAATATGACTCATACATTTCACTTAACAAAACTTTCTCCACTTAATAACATTTTATATTTATTAATAAATAATTTATTTATTCAAGTGAATTCACATTCAATTTATTCAAGTGAATTGGTATCCAATTTTTAAATTTCGATAAATCTCTATTCAAGAAAATTTTTTGAAATTTGATTAAAGATTTGGCACGGCAGTTATTAAAATATTTAAGATTAGAGTTATCTACCGGATTTTTGTATAAAATAAAAATTAGGTTCTACTATTCAATTTAACCTACCCATTATTTTTTGTTTAAAATCCTCATTTTTGACCATCAAATCTCTAATTGTATTTTTATTCAACTCTCTAATATAGTCATCAATTGTATTCCCTTCCAACATTGGATGATAGCTTCTTAAAGCGTCGCCTTTTTCCCGATTAATAATTTTTTCTATATTTTCTTTAACCAAATTAGATAATTTAAATTTTGTATTTTCATCTCTTATTTTTTTGAGAATTTTTAAAATACTTTCTGCATCGTTCCAATTTATGGTATTTTTCTTTCCAGACATAAGGTCCATTTTGGACAAAATTAGAGCTCGGAGAATCTTCCACTCCTTTTCATCGACATATTTTAAAATATTTTTATCCAACTCTCTTATTTGTATCAGAACAAATGATACAACTGTTCGAATCTCGTATTTTATATATTCAGTCTCATTTAATAAGAGTTTGTAATTAGAAATTATCCAGTTTTCAAGTTCCTCTCGTTCTAAATTTTATATAAAATTTTTGAGTAAATCCTTTTATTATTAAATAATCTTACACTTACATATGTACATACAATGAATTTCTTAGAAACGTAAGACTAAAAATTGACCTCTGCGACATTTTTAACCCACTCGATATGGAAACAGGCTTAGTTGGAATGTACAAACTAAAAGGTGGGGGTGGGCTAATATACTATATTCGATTATTAGTGCGGAGGAGGCTGGGACTAAAGGAACTACTATTTGTATTATGATATCACCAGATACCAATTAATTAAATATCATTCGGAATCTCAAATTCCTAATGATCCTAATATCCTGCCTTGGATATTAGGATCCGCCCTCCCGATCCGAATATCCGGCCTTGGTTTATGATCCCCCCCCCCCGATCCTAGTTTCCGTTCTTTGTCTACAAGATATTTGATTTATTGATACTTTGTCTAAAAGATAGATTTATAATTTCTGTCATTTCAATATTCATTCCTCAACTTTTTGATCACTCCCATATTAATTAACCCCTCCAGGATTAAATAAAGTAATTAATCCGTTGACACGTTAACTTCAATACCTATTTGTAATAGATCGTAGAGATAGTCACTCTCAGTGAAAATATTTCCTCCATCTGTCGATTTTGTACGAAATATTTCTATTAAACTTGATCTAGCACCATTATGTGCTTCAAAAAGTTGTTTTAAAGGCGCTATTTCAGGTGATTTCGCCTTCCACATTTTTAACAATTTAACTTTCATCATAATTTTTTCAGCCTTTTCAAATTCTTCTGCTTTCCTTCCGTTTATATTTTGATTTAAAAAGTTTTCATGTTGATACATTTCTGGACTGTTGAAATATTTATCAAAATATTTAAGAAATGAATTCTTCCAAATATTTTCTGCATTCATTTTATCAGCTTTCGAAATTGTACTGAATGCATTTGAAGTGAATAACATAAAATATTCTTTTGATAATTTACCATATTCTGGAATATTCGAAAACAGACGGACAAAAAGTCGAATCTGTTCGCTTTCTTCAACAATTTCTAAAAAATAATAATTTTGATTGACGTTTTGTTGAGGATGAGAGAATTATTTTAACTGCGAAATATGACAATGCGGATAAACAATTGCGGATGAGGTAGTTCATCTTGTACTCCTTATCCCTCCTAAGCATTTCAAACGATTTATGTCCGATGGACCTTGCCATCGCACATGATTACCGCGGCAGAATTACTATTGTTTGCTATATTTTTAAATAATACAGAAAAACTTAATTCTCTTCAAAAACTTCAAAATTACTTTCCTTATCAAAATAAATTTACAGTTCCAAAAGTTTTTTTATTAATTTAATAGATACCTAATCTATACAGAAATGGATCCTTTAATTCAAACTTTGCAAAAAACAAATCTCCAAGAACATTTCTAATTTTCTTCTTTACTTCAAGAAGTGTGCCATTATTCACTTGACCGTTGTTCTGAGTTTCCATCGAATTAATAGCCTTTTTGAATAGTTCGGGAAGTAATCTTTCCAATCTGTGATTAATTTATTAACGTATATCTTTAATACTCACAAATAAATTACTTATCAGATGCTAACCATTCCATATAAAACGATTTTTTCGAATCTTTTGGCTCCCAAAATTATAAGTGTTTTAGAGCTCAACCCCCCCCCCCCCACCCCCGCGAGAGAGAGAGAGAGTGGGGTAATTCATGCAATTTTCAAGACACAACATTAAAGGACTCGAACTAAGTACCAGGGATTGGTCATTCATTTCCGTTTCCGCCTTCCACAAAAAAACCTCTTTAGTTTGCTTAATTTCGCGTAACATCTTCCGCTTTTTAAAAGGAGCCCATCCCAGCTAAGTATCAGTCTGTCCTCGGAGAGTAAATTAGTTAGATAAACATTAAATTTTATTATTGAAGCTGAACCTTTCAAAATGTAGATGAGCTAAAAACAATTTGAAGTGTTCCTCT